GGTATATGATCGATGTAAAAGCATGAGGATTTGGATGAAAATTTTTTGGTTGAAAAAAAGCGACACTATTTATGAGACAACCTAATACTTCGTCCAACCGCAAGGTTGTAAACGGCGTTGTACAGGTACGTTTTCCCGCTACCTCCTGGTCCATCGAACGTATATATACCTACTCTCATTACCGTCCAGTGCAGCAAGATGCTGTCTGCAGCTGCTCTCTGCATGGGGTTGAGTGTTTCGTATTGACGCAGCCCATTCCTCTCATAAGCGACATAATCAGTAACCGTCGTTGGTGACAATGGACGCTCGCGCGCTGGCGGCGTGACGATGCGGGTTAGATCCATTCCTAACAAACTCATTCTGTCTTGTACGTCAAAATATGCTAATGACACAGCTAACTCCAGATCTATTCCTTGATGAATGTAGTCGTCAGACATGGATTCTGCAAACTCATCCCATAAATCTTGCGCGTTGACCACGTCGCAGAAGCACAGTAAACACACAAAAAAGCTTCTGGTTGTTGCGGCCGACTGATATTGCACCGCCTCATGAAGGCTTTGGCGTAGATATCTATCATCATCGAGAAATCCAGCCGCCTTCGCTGCATCGACAAAATTGGCGTGCATTGTTCCATCTATAGTGCGCAAATCTTCGAATGATGTTTTTCCCTTCGTGTTTAGGAGGAGGATTCGCAGACTGTACCTCTCAGTATCCCTTGGTGAAACTGTATACATTCTTCCAATCTTGTTTGCCACCTCGTTTCTCTAGGTGTCCATCCTCGATCACGGCGAAATGTGAAATATTCAGGGATCTGATAGTAGTAAAGACTTCTGGCATCTACTGTGAATTCGGGGTGGCCTTGAAGTGCCGTCCCGAAGTGAAGACCTGGGCACACCGAGCGTTTAACTGGAAATAAGCTGTTAATGTGGTGTGCAAACTATCCTCACGACTTAGAGCTTGTTCCCTACCTTCCGCGAAGTAGACGGTGTGAAAGTCCGGCAAATGCACACGGTGTGCGACCTATCCTGAAGTGGAAATCCGAAAATTCTGTATAGACTCTGTGGGGCACAGACATATCTTGTGTTTAGGTGTTGTTTTATCTCATCATTTTCGCCTGCACCTTCGATGTTGATATTTGCTCGATCTGGCCCCTTGTAAACGTACTTGTAGAGATATTTCACAGCTGAGATCATCCCGCATATTTCCATATTAATATGGCAGTCATATTTCATGATCAGATATGGATTCGTCGGAACGACCCATTCATCACTGTGTATGGTGACGCAAAGATTTTGGGAATCTCTTAGAACAGAAGCCAGATTGCATACACGGAGACTGAGGGTCTGCTGGACCACACCGGCGATGTATCATGTAGGACGTGATAGCAGCGTGAAGCTCCGGTTCCGTTTCTGGGTTCGGAATTTCGGCGGTCACTGCACGGTCGCACTCTTCAGGTGTGCGGACTTTCCATCTTTCCTTCATTATCAAGAGCATGTGACAATGTGGCAGTCCGCGCTTTTGAAACTCAATAACATACACGTACGCCTGCACTTCGCCAAGCACATGCTTTTTGAAGAGATCAGAACACAGCTCCATTAATTTTGCATGGAACACACGCGAAGCCAGATCACTGTCGTTCTAACTGTTTATCAGCTGTTATCAACTTCTGTCCCCCAAATATGTTCCCGTCTCGCCCCTATATCATCCGAAAATAGCGCCTCAATGCTGCTGGGCCGCGCGCTATGAATTTCGTGACACTTGCGTTCTAGCGCCCTTATCAATCTTATCAGTTGTTATCACTTCTGTCCCCCACCAAATATGTTCCCGTCCCACCCCCTATATCATATCCCAAAATCAGCTCCTGACGACTGCTGCGACGCGCACTATGAATTTCGTGAAATTTGCGTTTCAGCGCCTCTTATCTGCTCTTATCAGTCGTTATCACTTTCTGACCCCCACCAAATATGTTCCCGTCCCACCCTCACATCACTTCTGGAACCAACTCCCCACTGCTGCTGGGACGCGCGCTATGAATTTCGTGAAATTTGCGTTTCAGCGCCTCTTATCTGCTCTTATCAGTCGTTATCACTTTGTGACCCCCACCAAATATGTTCCCGTCCCACCCCCTATATCATATCAAAAAATCAGCTCCTGACGACTGCTGCGACGCGTGCTATGAATTTCGTGACACACACACACACACACAGACAGACAGACTTAGCGCTTTATATATAGTAGGGATTTTTAAAGCTTTATCATTTCATAAAATTCTGCATAGTTCACTGAAATTAGCTTACCTAACTAGACCAGAAACAACCTAGCTTACGCGAGTAGCGAAAGACCGATGCACCAGCGAGTCGAATTATGTACCAGCGAGTCGAACCATGTACCAGCGACTCAATAGTGGCGGGACCCAACGTTCAAAGGAAGCCCGCCACTTTCAAACAGTGTCCGTGACTGTTCACTGTCAAGTCCCGCCACTTTCAAAAAGGGTCCACTGTCACGTGACACTGTTTGAAAGTGGCGGGCTTCCTTTGAACGTTGGGTCCCGCCACTATTGAGTCGCTGGTACCTAGTTCGACTCGCTGGTACATCGTTCGACTCGCTGGCGCAAAGTTCGATTCGCTGGTGCAACGTTCGATTCGCTGGCGCAACGCTCGGATCCAGCGATTCGCTAGCGAATCGCTCGATTCGCAAACTATGACATCGGCCTTACCTTCACCAGAACCTTGAATTACAGTTCTATTCACCCAAGGAAAATCACAGATGTTGCATACCCGTGACGGAAATCACAAGACAGGAGCTCTAGGGCCTTTCAAAGTAAGCTGCTCCAGCTGTAGATTTTTCTCCTTTTATCAGGCTTTTAACGCTCTCTCGCCTTATCTCCTCTCCGTGTTTAGTCTTCCACTACCTTAGCAAAGTCTATTGCGGAGGTGAGTAAACTCTTAACATAAGCTTTTCGACGGATTCTTTTCCTTTTTTTACTGTTACCCATTTCGCGTCAACAAATTCCTTGTCATGTCCAAGAACCAACCAATTTGGCTGCGGCATGCCTTTAACCCTTTCGGCCCTGGCGGTGGCAATTGCCACCACCAAATTCAAACGCTTGCATTGCCGCTGAAACAGCATGGTTTTTCTAATCCCTAGAGGTTGCTTCAGTCAACCTTCCCCTTCCTAATTATGAGCTAAACCTGCCATTTCATTGTGTGTTGCTGTTAGTATTACAAGTATTTGTGTACAAGTGCAACAATGAATGGGCGCTGACCCCCGCAACCGGCCAAGTAAGTGTGACTTTTTCTTAAAATACTTGAAGTAGATCCATTCCTAAATCAAAATTATGGGTTATAATGTTATGCAAGATTATAAACTTTTTCGGCATAACTATGAAATTTCGAATTGTTTCGACATAAGCTTAAAAACTAAGAAGGTGGGCCAATTTTCAAAGCTTCTTAGTTTCTTTGTTTGTGATCGAATAGCTTCCAAATTTCGCCATAATGATACCTATATGCTCACAAGTAATAAACAATAGCTAGAAGAAAAATTTCTCCACGGGGAAAAATTCAGGTCCGAAAGGGTTAATGTTTCACGCGAAATTTTGGCAAGTATAATCACCATTTCTTTCCAGCTCTATAGGAAAATCTGGTAGGCGTGACCGGAATACCAGAATTTCATTGTTCATTATTTCGATATTAGTTTTTTTTTCGTTCAATTCCGGTAATTCATCGAATTGTCAATCATCGAATGTGTTGGGGTCACTCCTGTTTGCGATTTCAACAAAATTTGTTCAAGGAATATTCCTCCATCAAATGGTAGTTCATACAACAGTCATCCATCTGAGGCGGATAAGGATAGCATAACGTCAGGGGAAAAGGACCCAACGAGCAAATCGCCGCTATGGATACTAATAACACAGAGCAGCCGCAGCCCACTTGAGATTTATGCAACATGCTTCATCGGCTGTAAGCCGTCCTAACCAATTGAGAACTGAACAGGATAGCTCCTTGGCAAAAAAAACCCCTCCGACGTTTTCTTCACACTAGAAGATATGGTGAAGATGAGAACAAAAATATAAAAAATAAGGATGCAAAAAAGCAGCTGCAAAGAGAAAGAAGGTACGCTCCGCTGGAATTGTAAGTTTTTGTTCTCAACATCAAGCCCTTCTCGACCGAAGAAATGAGGGCTCACCAATTCCGAATGGTTATCGATTTTATCGCCACAAACACGTTCTGCGTGACCAAGTTCAAAATCTGGCCGCGTCAACGTAGGAAACGGCGCCGGGACGAATATCAGACTTTCACGGGTGCGAATATTGTTCATTTGTTACAGAGTTTACTCGGAAAATTCAGAATACTGTTAGTTCATTTCACAACCTTGCGGTCCAACTGGTACGTGGACAGCCCTTATTATATTAGGTCGTGAAGAAAGTTCTTGCGCTTTTCGGTGTTTCGTTTTTGAACGCTTTATTTTGTTACGAATTCAAGCAAGCTGCCAATGAGCTGTATGTGGTTTTGAAGAGCTTTTCTTGTTCTATCTAACAGCTAGCTACAGTAGTGGCCAGAAATTTATGAACAAACGGTTTTTTCATGATTTCTCTTTTGAAAGTCACTGGAACGTCTCCAAATTTGCAACAATTATTAACTACGTGTTTTATGATCCACACAGAAAATTTCAACCTTCAGCTCAAATTTGGGTTTAGAAAATTTTAGATTTTTCGAAATTAATGAAGGCAGGTGAAAGATCACTTGATCCGTTTATTTGATTTAAATAATGTATAACCCAACAGAACAGTCAAGTAAACAGTCACTAACATTAAGCAAGTCTAGCACATTGCCCAGAACTCTCTAAAGTATTGGATACATAAACTGGATTTGAATGCGGGGTCAACTAATGAACTCACTCTCTAGTGGGGTCTCTCTCTGTAGTCCCGTCTTTTCGTGGCTCTTTCATTGACATACGAATTTGTAGGTCCTCCCCTAGTGGTTCTGTAATGTTTGGCTCAAGAGTCTGGCCTGGCTGGTCTTTTAAAAGCACCCCATGCTGTCGAAACCACTCCTGCATGTGAGAGGCCCGATGCTTTGAGTCGCTGCTCTGCTGACAGACAAAGCCAGGTCGTGTGGCAGCCATGTCTACGGATACATAACATCTTCTAGAATCTAAGTCTATACTACGTATTCCTTAGTTCTCAAAGTCTAAGAAGAGGGCTCGCTGTGAAGT